AGATCAGCTCCGTGGGCCATGGTGCCGGTTCTTTGGGAACCCGAAAGGGTCATCCTGACAGACTTTCTTGAAGGACAGAGGTTGATCGTAGGGTGTCTTCTGATAATGTTTCAAGAACATTTAAGATTGGTGAGAAAAAGCCAAGAAAGTGTCAATGAGAAATTTGTTCCCCCAGTGACACTACACCTACTCATTCTTCAATGATAGCACAGACTGTCCTGTGAGACCGTCAATGGGAAACATTACACAACAGCCCTTAGGCGGCTTTTTGTTCTTAAAACTCAAGAATGCTGAAAAGAAACACAACTGATTCCCCACAGAGGCCAAAGTGCTGTTTCGACCGGGCAAACTGATGAGTGCAGAACTCTTCCAGGAGGGTGAGCGCGATCGAGCCCTGCCTTCCGAAGCGCACAGACCTATGGGGGGCTGGCCGAGAGACCATCGCTTCAGGTGGTGATATTTTTGTTTATTAAAGATTTCTGTGATTTTGGAGCAATACTTTTGAATTTACCCTCATACTACAGAAACCATTACAATGTATCCTTATCACAATTTTACTTGCAAGTGACTTTAATGATACTGTTCCATAACTTCTATATTCTCTTGAGCCGTGTTTCTTTGGAATGGGCACAAATATGGACCTCCTTCAGTCTATTGGCCAATAGTTGTCTTCCAAACTTCTTGGCATGCTTGCTTGCTTGTCTCTGTAATAACCTTCTGCTTTCTTCATGTATGAAGCTCTTGATCATATCCCGTAACTCATCTGGTCTTCTTGGCATAGTGTTTAACGTATCACATCTGTTCTGGAGATGGTTTCTAAATTCAAGTAGGATACACTTAAGGTCACACTTTGGCTTTCATGGGCTTGTTCTATTGTGTTTAGCAGCTTCAACTTGAACGTGTGCTCTTAATGGTCTTGATTGTTCCAGTCAGTCGTTGTCCTTTGTTATGACTGGTAATCGGGTGTGTCAGTTGCCTCTTTCCACAGACATAGCTGAACCGATTCCCGTGTATTTCATTCAGCATGGTCCACGTGGACAGTCACCACGTATGTTCTTGAAAAAGGGTAATGGAAATGAAGAAGTCATCGGTCTTGCAAAATTCTGTCATTCGATAGTCAACGTTGTTTCTATCACCAAAAAAGACCAAATTATCCAGAGATCACCAGATATCAATCCTTCTACTTTTTCTTTGTTTCTAAGTTTCAAATTCCAATCACCAGTTATTATCAATACATATTGACTACACAGATGAAGCTTTCAGTTCCCATAAAGACGGACAGCTCCAAAGGGATCTACTCTGTCCTGTCGGGTTGCTATGACTGGGGATCCACTCGATGGCGGTGAATTTTGGTGAATGATGATATGTTTGGTCAATTTCAGACTGCAGAAGTTGGTAACAAAATTTCCAAAGTATCGTTACTTTGGTACTAGTGGCTAGTGCATACATTCGACTAACAGTTGTGTTAACTGATCTTCCTTGTGAGTGGATGGGCATTATCCTGTTCCTGACAGTGTCGTGCTGCAGGAAGATCTTCAACTATTCCTTTTGGTGATGCTACTCCTCTTCAATTCGGCATTCCTGGCAGAGTAGACCATATGGTTGTCAGATTTCTATTTCAGCTCACCAATGCCAAGGATATTGATCTTTATGTATTTCATTTCGTTTCTGGCAATTTCCATTTTTCTTAAATTCATACTTTGAACATTCCAGGTTCTAATTATTAATAGATTTTTCCCCAGCATTTTCTTCTCATTTTGAGCCATGCCACATCAGCTCATAAGGCCCCATGAGCTTTACTCTATCCATGGCACTTAGATCAGCCCTAATTTGAGGAGGCAGCTCTTCCCCAGCCGTACTTTGAGTATCTGCTAATCTGAGAAGTCCATCTCTGGCAAGAGATCTATTGCTATTCACAATGCTTTAACTGGCCAGTATTTTCATCAATAGGTTATGTCTACCTTCTTAGTCTGTCTCTGTCTGAAAGTTTCTCTGAAACCTGCCCATCACGAGTGCCCATGCTAACCTTTGAAAGACTGGTGGTACAGCTTCTAGCATCACAGCAACACAGAAGCCAGCACTGTAACACAAAATGACAGGGGAGTGCTGCTTATGTTAGTGAGAGGAGCATTATATTCAGAAAAGGAGGGTACAAATGGTTTCACAATTGGAGGGATTTAACAAATGTCACTGAATTGTACTTGTAGAAATTGCCGAATTGGTACATGTTTTGCTGTCTATAGTTCTCAACAATACAAAGTAAAATGAATTATATTTTAAATTATCCTAAAGAATCTACAAGAAAACTATTAGAACTAATAAACTGATCGAGCAAAGTTAGAAAATTCAAGATAAATAAACATCAAATTATAATTCTATTCATTCCCAATACACAATCCCAAAAATGATATTAAGAAAACAATCCCATTTACAATAGCAGTAAAAGAGCAAAGCTCTTAGGATATACTTAACAACAGAAGTTCAAGATTTGTACACTGAAAATTATATAATGCTTCTGAAATAAACAAAAAGAGACTTAGATAAATGGAAAGACATCTCATTCTCTGATGAAGGCATGATTAAGATAACTTCAAAAGAAAACACTGCTGTTCGGTCAAGTCTGACTCCTAGTGACTCTGTAAGACTGTGTCCTACCACCCCCTACGGTTTCCAAGTTTGTAATCTTTTGGGAAGCAGACTGCGACATCTTTCTCCTGCAGAGTGGCTGGTGGGTTTGAACTGCTGAGCTTTTAGTTGGAGGCTAAGCACTTAACTACAATGCCCCCAGAGCCCCTCCGCGCACTGATCTAATTAACACAATACACACTAAAGTCCTAGCAGTCTCTTCCGGGGAAATGTATGCTTGGATCCTAAAATCTACATGGAAACAGAAGGGTCTTAGAGCAGCCAAAACAAGTTTAAAAAACAGAAACAAAATAGAAGATTCACACTTCTTGATTTTGAGACTTATAGGTAATAGCATAAGGATAGCAGTTAAAATTAGAAATTGATGGAGCAAAATGAGATTCTGGAAATAAACCCTTACTTTTCTGGTCAAATGATTTTTGTCAAGGATGACAATAAAATTCAATGGCAGAAGACTTTTCAAGTGGTGCTCGTTATCCATGCCAAAGGATAAAGTTGGATCCCTTCCACTAGACCCCAAATGAACACAGAATGATCAGAACCCTAAATGTAGGAGTGACCATGATAAAACTCTAAGAAGAAAATGCAGGCAGGCCCAGGTCTTCAGCACCTCAGACCCAGGAGTGGTTTCTTCGATTTAAAACTAAAACATAATTGAAGAACCTAAAAGGTAAAAAAGATGAATTGGGACACAGGAATCTGGAAATAAATGCTTAAAAAAAAAAAGGTTTGGTTCTTCAAAGGACACTATCAAAAAAGTCAGAAGACAAACCAGAGACTGGGAGAAACTATTTTTAAATCACGTATCTGATAAGGAATTTAAACCCAAACCATATGAAGAACTCTTACAATAATGAAAAGACCCGTAACTCAGTTTTAAAATGGGCAAAGGATTTGAATAGACATTTCACCAGAGACATTATATGACCAATTAGCATGTGAAAAGATACTTCATTAGAATATTAGAGAATTAATATATCATTAGAGAATTAATATATTAAAGAAATGCAAATCTAAACCACAATGAGGTACTATTTCACACTTACTATGGTGGTTCTCATAAAAACACAGGGTAAATATTGACTTTGGTGAGGATGTGGCAAAATTAGCCTCTTGTGAATTCATTGTTCATGGGAATGGAAAATGGGGTACCTATCTCAAGAAAACAGTCTTGGGATGCTGTATGAGTAAAAGATGCTAGACACAAAAGTATGGTTTCACTCATAAATCTACACAAACAGTAGGGAGTGATAAAAGGGCAAGGAGTGGGGTTGCAGAGCACTGACTAAAGGGTATGGTGTTTCTTCTGGGGAATGCTGACGAGTGGGTAGCTGTGATGCTTGTTCAACTCTGGATAAAAAACTGTGCATTAGTGGTGAAGAAAGTAGATGGTGTGTCTGGGGTCTGAAAGGCTTGAAGTTAAACAAGTGGTCATCTGACAGAGAAGCAACAAGCCATATGGAAGAAGCACACCAGCCTGAGATGATGCGGTGTCAACGATGGGATCGGCTAACAGGCATCAGAAGACCCCAAACAAACAAACAAACACCATATTGTAGAGAACGAGGCGGGTCAGAGCAGAGACCACTGCGTACACTACACCCATTTGTAGACAGTGGGACATCTCCTTACAGAAGGGTCACAAGGAAGGGATAAGTCA